AACTATTGAAGAAACTACAAACTGTTCTTTCAAAGTGAGTTTACCATTTTTACATACCACCATTAGCAAATGAGACTTTGAGTTCCTTTACAGCCCTTAGTGAATCAGTTTTTTATTTTTTTATTATTTATTTATTTATTTATTTTTTGGCCGGGGCTAGGTTTGAACCTGCCACCTCTGGTATATGGTGCCAGCGCCCTACCCCTTTTGAGCCACAGACCCTGCCCCAGTTTTTTAAATGTGTATTTTTGTAGTGTGTGTCTAGTCATATTTTATTGTTATTTTTTAGTATTTCTCTGATAATTGTGATATTAAGCAATTTTCATGTATTTAGTGTCTATTCATATATTTGATTTGGTGAAATGCCTATACATGTCTTGTGAACATTTTTCAATTGAGTCTTGTGTTATTGAATTGTAAGAGCTCTTTATATAACTTGGATACACATTCTCTGTCAAACACATCACTCACACTCTATGGCTTATCTTTTTATTAATAATGTCTTTGAAGAACAAAAGTTTTAAATTTCTATGAAGTTTCTTCTGTGTGTTTTTCAAGATTTGTGTTAGCTTGAGCATTTACGTTAGGTCTGTATTGTCCTTCCTGTTGCAGAGTTGTTATCCTAGAACTTCTTTTCACCTTTTTTCTGTGTTGAAGTGTTCTGGTTTTACATTTCTTCCTTCTTTATTTAAATAAACATTCATATTGCTATAGCATATTCTTCAATTGCTTGTAGACAAACCATTCTTGGGAGCTAATTTTTTTATTTTTGAAACAGTGCAAATGATCTGAAAATATCTTTTTTTTTTTTTTTTAAATTGTTGGGGATTCATTGAGGGTACAGGAAACCAAGTTATGCTGATTGCATTTGTTAGGTAAAGACCCTCTTACAATAGTGTCTTGCCCCAAAAGTTGTGGTACACACCAAACCCCCACCCCCTCACTCCTTCCCTCTCTCTGCTCTTCCTTTCTCCACCCCACCCTCCTTCTTTCTCTCTCTGTTCTCTTCTTCTCCCACCCCCACCGTGTCATTAATTGTCCTCACATCAAAATTGAGTACATAGGATTCATGTTTGTCTATTCTTGTGATACTTTACTAAGAATAATGTGTTCCACTTCCATCCAGGTTAATACAAAGGCAATAAAGTCTCCATTTTTTAAAATAGCTGAATAGTATTTCATAGTGTACATATACCACAGCTTGTTAATCTATTCCTGAGTTGGTGGGCATTTAGGCTGTTTCTACATTTTGGCGATTGTAAATTGAGCTTCTTTGAGGGTTCTCCATGCGTCCTTCCAAAAAAGTTGTATTAGTTTGCAGTCCTTCGAAAAAAGTTGTATTAGTTTGTAGTCTGACCAGCAGTGTAAAAGTGTTCCCTTCTCTCCACATCCACATCAGCATCTACAGTTTTGAGATTTTGTGATGTGGGCCATTCTCACTGGGGTTAGATGGTAGCTCAGGGTGGTTTTGATTTGCATTTCTCTAATAATTAGGGATGATGAGCATTTTTTTCATATGTTTGCTAGCCATTCGTCTGTCTTCTTTAGAGAAGGTTCTATTCATATCTCTTGCCCATTGATATATGGGATTGTTGGCTTTTTTCATGTGGATTAATTTGAGGCCTGCAGTAAACATTCTGGTGCAAATGTCTTTGTTGTGAAATGATTTTTGATCATCTGGGTAAGTACCTAGTAGGGGGATTGCAGGATCAAATGGTAGGTCCACTTTTACTTCCTTGAGTATTCTCCAAACGTTTTTCTAAAAAGTCTGTATTAGCTTGCATTCCCACCAGCAAGAAGTGGGAAATGTGTAGAAGTGTTCCCTTCCTTCCACATGCATGCCAACATCTGTAGTTTGGGGATTTTTTGATGTGGGCTAATCTTACTAGAGTTAGATAATATCTCAAAGCGGTTTTGATTAGCATTTCTCTGATGATTAAAATGGTGAGCATTTTTTCATGTGTTTGTAAGCCATGTGCCTGTCTTCTTCAGAGAAGTTTCTGTTCAAGTCTCTTGCCCACTTAAGAGGGGGGTTGTTTCTTTCTTATTGATTTGTTTGAACTCTCTGTGAATTCTAGAGTTATCAGACCTTTGTCAGAAGCATAACCTGCAAATATCTTCTCCCATTCTGAAGGCTGTTTGCTTTATTATTATTATTATTTTTTTGAGACAGAGCCTCAAGCTGTCCCCCTGGGTAGAGTGTCGTGGCATTACAGCTCACAGCAACCTCCAACTCCTGGGCTCAAGCGAGTCTCCTGCCTCCGCCTCCCAAGTAGCTGGGACTACAGGGGCCCGCCACAACGCCTGGCTATTTTTTGGTTGCAGCCGTCATTGTTGTTTGGCGGGTCCGGGCTGGGGATTCGAACCCGCCACCTTAGGTGTACGTGGCTGGTGCCTTAGCCGGTTAAGCTATAGGCGCCGAGCCTGTTTGCTTTATTTACTGTGCTCTTGGCTGTGCAAAAGCTTTTTAGTTTGATCAGATCCCAGTAATATAATTTTAGTGTTTCTTCAATTGCCTGGGGGATCTTTGTCATAAAAAAATTCTCCCAGGCTAATTTGTTCAAGAGTTTTCCCTGCACTATCTTCTAATATTATTCTGGTTTCATGTCTTAAGTTTAAATCTTTTATCCAGTGAGAATCAATCTTTGTTAATGGTGAGAGATAGGGATCCAGTTTCATTCTTCTACAGGTCGCCAGCAAGTTCACCCAGCACCATTTGTTAAATAGGGAATATTTCCTCCATTGAATGTTTTTGATAGGTTTGTCAAAGATCAAATGACTATTAGTGTCTGCGTTCATCTCATGGTTCTCTATTCTGTTTCATAGATTTATCTCTCTATTTTTGTGCCAGTACCATTCTGTTTCAATCACATAGATTTATAGTATAACCTGAAGTCTGGTAACATGATACTTTCTGATCTGTTTTTATTTCTGATTAGTGTATTTGCTATTCGAGTTTTTTTCCTGATTCCATATAAAATGAAGCACTATTTTTTCAAGCTCTTTAAGGTATGATAATGGTGTCTTAATAGGGATTGCATTAAATCTGTAGATTGCTTTGGGTAGTATAGACATTTTAACAATGTTGATTCTTCCCAACCATGAGCCTGGTATTTTCTTCCATTTGTTAATGTCTTCAGCTATTTCTTTTCTCAGAGTTTCATAATTCTCTTTATAGAAATCTTTTATGTCCTTTGTTAGATAAATTCCCAGATATTTCGTCTTCTTTGGCACTACTGTAAAAGGAATAGAGTCCTTCACTATATTTTCAGCTTGACTATTGTTGACATGTACAAAAGCTACTGATTTGTAAGTATTGATCTTGTATCCTGAGATGCTGCTGTATTCCTTGGTCATTTCTAAGAGTTTTGTAGATGAGTCCCTGGGGTTTTTCAGGTATAAGATCATATCATCCACAAAGAATGATAGTTTGATCCTCTCTGACCCCATATGAATACCGTTGACCCCCATCTCTTGCTTGATTGCAATGGCTAGAACTATCAGATGATTTGGAATTTCAATTTCAGAATGATGTATCTTTATGTTTATGTTCATTGTGGTGATGGGCCCTTTCAGTCTGTAAACTCATACCCTTCCATTTTGTGATTTTTTGATTTGTTAGATATTTGATTTCCTCCACTCTGTGTTTCTCTGAAATTTTTTTTTTTCTGAAATCCCTTATTAACAGATCTTGGACTTCCTAAATTTAATCTTTTAATTTTCTTATTGTTTCACCTCTGTTTTCCACTTCAATGAATTTTTATTCTACTTGATAGAAGACTTTTTTGTTTTATAATATTTTTTAACTTTTTGAATTATTTTAATTTTTTTTCTTTACAAATATTTATAAATGCTCCTTTCTGTGATTACTATTTTCTTAAAAATAGATTTTATTCTTGTTTCATGGTATACTCTCATTTCTTTCTATATTCTTATGTTCCTGAAGATATTCATTATAGTTGTTTTAAAAGTTTCTTTTGCTTAAGAAGAAGAAAACTTCTTTGTCTTGTTTGTCTTTTTCTTTTGTTTTTCTGTTTTTGAGACAAAGTGTCACTCTGTCACCCAGGCTGGAGTGCAGTGTTGCTACCATAGCTCACTGCAACCTCAACCTCCTAGATTTAAGCAATCCTCCTTTATTACTGTTTACATTAGAAAAATTTAAAAAACAATTGATAATCATTGGTTCTATGTTCTTTTTAAATAATGAGACTCTCAGCTGATGTATAGGAACTGGCCATATGTTTGGATGACCCCCCAAATTTATTTCTTTTGTCCTTTTCTCTTGGACTGCACCAAGAGAAGAATTTTCTATGGGAGTCCTGGGGTTTGAAAGGGTGTATAAATGTGATCATTCACGTCTCACCATTCCCATATGTAGATTTTCCCTTTAACTTCCTATTTTTAGTATATCATCTGATTTCTGACTTGCCTTCTGACCTGTATACAGGGTTATTCCAGCCCTCCTAGCTTTGAAGCCTTCCTTTGAAGCCTTCCTAGGGATTTGGAGACTTCCTAGTCTTCAAAGCTTTATCAGTCTGCATGTTTTCATCCCTTTCTTCATAAGTGGAGTTTCTGAGTCTTGAAAGGTTAGACTTTAGGTTTCTCAGGACTGCTTTTCAACTTCTGAAATATTTATGTCCTTCATTTTTGTTTATTTTCTGTTTTCTTTGTCTTTGCGAATTTATGCCTTTTCTATTCCTTTCTTGTAGTTTTAGTGGGTTTTTGGAAGGGAGCAGAGATAAATGTATATTTCCCAGATGCCATATTTAAGGACAATCTCAGAACAAGTATTTAAACCCATCCCTAGACCCAGAAACCCATTTCACAGCTAGTAATTTCTATTGCTTCCTAGACATTTAATGAGCAATATATCTTGAATTTAGTAAATCCTCAGAAAATAATAATTTTTAAAATAATAGCCCTTTAGAATACATGTGGTTTTAATCCTTGACTTGTTACTTCAAGAAGTTGAGTTTATAGTTTTTCCTGTCTTCTCACAGAGACAGGGAAGAACGATTGGCGGCACTTACAGCTGCTCAGCAAGAAGCTATGGAAGAACTACAGAAAAAAATCCAGCTCAAGGTAGGCATATTAGACATTTTACTTTGAAAGTTTAGAGTTTTCAAAGATGGGGAGGTTAAAATTTTATCTCTCTAACAAAAATTGAATTAAGTTCTATTCTCTAATCTTTGGACAAGATATGATTTGGCTTATGACCATTTCTAACTCAACATCTGTGAGAGCCATTGAGGAAAAAAATTCAAGGAAGTTGAATGTTTCCTGTTTTTTAGGCAGTCTCCAGAAGTGTGACTGTTTTACATAATATCACAATTACTTGTGTGCTGGCTCCTCATAGGGATAATAAACTCCTTAGCATAGAGGACCATGTTTTACTATTTGTACAGCCCTAGAAATATATCATTCATTTACATCAAATGCATCAAATATTTCGTGAGCTTTGTGGTAGGCAAGGGGATACACAGATGAGTAAGGCTTGATTGCAATTTTCGGGAAACTCATAATTTATTGTAATATTCAGACACTGAGCAGATAATTTCCATGTCCTTGGAGATGTACATGGAGTGCTATGGAAGCACAGAGGACACTTAGTGTAACATGAGGGTGTCAGAGGGAGAGAAGTAATTTTTAAAGAATTTCTGAGATGGATCTTAAAAGGATGAATTGGTTGGGTAGGAGAATGGGTAGGTGGGATACCATTCCAGCCATATGAAATAATACATAAGCACAAGAGTCTGAAATGGTGGGGTTTTTTTTTTGAATTTTGATTTCAGTTGGCTTTCATTTGTCTTAGTTTGAAGTTTCTTTTTAAAATTTTCCTTTTGTTCCGTTTATTTATTTATTTATTATTTTTTTTATTGGCAGAGTCTTACTTTGTAGAGTATTGTGGCATCATAGCTCACAGCAACCTCCAACTCTTGCCTCAGCCTCCCAAGTAGCTGGGACTACAGGTGTCCACCAAAACACCCGGCATTTTTTTGTAGAGACGGGGTCTCACTCTGGCTTAGGCTAGTCTTGAGCCTCTGAGCTCAGGGAAATCCGTCTATCTCGGCCTCCCAGGGTGCTAGGATTATAGGTGTGAGCCACCATGCCTGGCCAGTGGGGTTTTTTTTTTTTCTTCCTTTTTTTCTTGGACAGTCATTCGAGTTGTGGAAATGGAGTAGGTAGAGGTCTGTGTCATGATGGACCTTGTCTGCTAGGTGAATAAGTATGGACTTTACCTGTGACTTTATATTTTGCCCCGTATGTTCTAAAATGTGCTTCTCAAATATGTGTTACGGGCAAATAATTTGGAAAATACTGCTTATTATGTGCTCTTAGTCATAGAGCACAGTGACATACTAGAGGCTGTATGTAAAATTCTATGTTAAAAATCTGTTTGACTTTAATTTACTGTTTTCTCAATTCATCTGACCGTGGAACCTCTTCCATAAAACACTATTACAGTCCCAAGGAGTACACTTCAGGAAACATTACTGTGCATGTGGCAAATATTAAGGTCTTTATGTAAACCCTTGTCTTCAGTATGTTAGTTATCATGGAAATAAGATACTGATTTTAATGGAGATATTATTTTTCCAAGTATTCAGTGTAATTTAAATAATTTTTGAAATTCCTATACTTCACCTTCATCTATATAGCATGATGAAAGCATTCGAAGGCATATGGAACAGATTGAACAAAGAAAAGAAAAAGCTGCTGAGTTAAGCAGTGGGCGACATGCAAATACTGATTATGCCCCGAAACTGACTCCTTATGACAGAAAGAAGCAGTGTTCTCTCTGCAATGTCCTGGTAGGTTGTCATTATCAATATTATGATGCTATATTACAATAATTATTACTAAAGTTTATGAAACCATGGCAATTTATTCTTCTAGCCTTTTAAAACTCATGCTATGGCATCTACTAAGTGCCGTGGATGATTTTGAATGAAAAGTAAGTAGTACAATTAATACTAGCATTTAGGAGTAGGCATGCACAGTAGCGAGGAATGCAGCTGATACTAAATGAATGTTTACCTGCGTAATGGTAGCCCAAGTCAATATTTTTTAGTTTTAGTACTAAAAAGGCAAGCAACATTTTTAGTGCTGAGATTTGAACCTTCTGACTGAAAGGAAATAATTTTCTTTTATGCTGGCTGTGATGAATAACATGCCTTTTGAACATGTGTCTTCTAGAGGATTATCAGACTTGTTCTCTAAGGAAAATGTTTTAAAGCCTGATATGTAAAACTTGAAAGATCTAAATTTACATATTATATTGAATTGAATATGTAGTATTTAAAATTAGATCTAATGTCAGTTGATTACATTGTTTTAATTTTATGTATTTTAGATCTCTTCAGAGGTATATCTGTTTAGCCACATTAAAGGGAAAAAACACCAGCAAGCTGTGAGAGAAAACAGTAGCATCCAAGGGCGTGAACTTTCAGATGAAGAAGTGGTAAGCTGTACTTTTGTTCATTTATAGTTATTTATCGAATACCTAGGTTGTGTTCTTTCCTTATAAAGAATTCCACTTTTATATATTTTCCTTTTGAAACAGAGTCTCATTATGTCCCCCTTGGTAGAGTGCTATGACGTCACAGGTCACAGCAACCTCAGACTCTTGGGCGCAAGTGATTCTCTTGCCTCAGCCTCCCATATAGCTGGGACTACAGGTGCCTGCCACAGTGCCCAGCTATTTTTAGAGATGGGGTCTCGCTCTGGTTCAGGCTGGTCTCAAACTTGTAAGCTCAGGTGATCTGCCTGCCTTGGCCTCCCAGGGTGGTGGGATTACAGTGTGAGTCACTGTGCCTGGCCTATGTATTTTTTTATGATTATTTAAGACTATATTTAATGCATAATGACTACTACAATATGGTATACAAATATGTCATTATTTTAGTATACATATTAATTTAAGAAATATAGAACTAGGAATTGAATGCATATATTAATTTACTTAATTTCTGTGCAGGACAAAGTTATGGCAAATTGTTATTTTAATGATACCAAATTTCTTGGAAACAATATACATTTTGTATACTAGTATAATTTTAGATCAGTAGATCTAAATTTGGGGAAATGCAAACTTACCTGTAATTATTGCTTACATGGGACTTAGCTTTGTTTAAATATGTTTATACGTATTTTTTGTGTAACTGTTATTGAGACTTGGATGGCAGACCTTGATAATCTATGAATATGTTGGTCCTATTTATAATAGAAAATCCCTAAAGCTATTAAAGAAGGAGAAATTCATATTTGTCAAGGATCTTTTAAGTTGCTCAGGAATGATTATTGTGGGTTCTTTGAGGGCAGTACTTGTGCATAGGTGCATGTGTATGTTAACTTATTTTTTTCTTTTTTGTGGTTTTTGGCTGGGACTGGGTTTGAACCTGCCACCTCCGGCATATGGGGCCAGCGCCTTACTCCTTTGAGCTACAGGCACCGCCCATTAATTTTTTTTTTTAAGTATGGCATATATTAGTAAAGTATACAAACCTCAAGTAAATAGCTGATAAAGTTTTACATATTTACACACTGATATAAGCCACCTGAATCATGATGTAGATCAGTTCTTATATACCAAAGGGTCCACGTACACCCCTTCCCATTCATGTCCCCACAGGTATCTACTTTCTAACTTTCCATACCATCACTAAGTCTTGTTTTTTTTCAAACCTCATATAAATGGTACCATACAGCATGTACTCTTGTGTGTCTGATATTTTTCATTCATGTTTAATTCTGTGAGATTGATCCCTACTTTTATGTAAAGCTATAGTTAATTATTATTCTTAGCTTGTCAGGGTCCTCCAGGCAAAGACTATCAGGAGCATATCTGTAGTTGAATAAAACTAACTTTATTGACTTGTTAATGGAAGAGAAAATACATGCTATGGAGAGTTGTGGAGCTTTTCAATAAGAAAATACTTGAAAGAACTTGTGCTAGATGACTTGGGGGGAGGTCCAAGGAGACGAGGCTTTGCTCTGGATTGGATGCCTTCAGGGAGCATGCGTAATTCTGTGCTTGGTTTCTTAATAAGTTTTATCTAGGCAGAAAGAATGAACCTGTTTTCAGCTGGGTTTCTGGATATGACCAGTGCTGGAGGGGAAATACTGTGTCATTATTTTGGCTTACTTCCCTTTGATTTCTTTTTTTAAGGAATTTTGCCCCTCAAATTCTAACCACTTTGATGGTTCTAAACTTCAAATTCTGTCTCCTCATCTCACTAAGACTAACACTTTCAGCTTGCACTATCCTCCCATGCCAAAAATTTTCATAGACCTGTAAGGAAGAATCTGTAGTGAATTTGCAGCTCCCTTCAAGATGTGTGGTGTCCCTTCTTTCAGGTTTTGGTTATGTTGGCTCTTCTTTAATCCTGTCATACAGTTTGGGTATTTTGTGCAGCTTTTAGAGCTGGAAGAATAATCCAGTACAAGTTAATTCACAGTACCTGGAGTTGAAAGTCTCCACTGTTTGATTCCTGTATATTCATGGTTGCGATACAATACTTGACACATTTTAAGGTTTTAATACATGCCTAGTGAGTTGAATTGAACTGAAAGGTTATACAGAGTGGCTTAAAGGTATCTTTGCAGTTGGCTTGTAAATTTCTCCTTTGTAATACTAGGTACTTTTAATATAAGTGAAATGCAACATGGAATTAATTTTTTTATTTCGTTTTCCTCAAGTGAATTTTTTTGCTTTTCACTAAAATTGTATGAGTATTTTACTTTATTTTTTATTAAATCATAGCTGTGTATATTACTTTTTTTTTTTTTGAGACAGAGCCTCAAGCTGTCCCCCTGGGTAGAGTGCCATGGCATCACTGCTCACAGCAACCT